CTTCCTCTTGCTTCCCTGATGGTTATAATCTTCAAATATTCAAATGCAATGTCAATCGACATCTTCTTCACCTTGATCCTGATCCCCTCCTTCTCTATATCCTTTCCTTAAACACCCTTCTTCTTTTGCTCTCCCCGTCCTTCTCTATATCCTTAACTTAAACACTCTTCTTCACTCCCGCTCCCCCGTCCTTCTTCCTGATATCCTTTCCTTAAAATAATCTTCTTCGTTTTCACTTGCTATAGATGTTTATATGTCTCTATATCCTTTCTTTAAATGAGTTTATCGTTTAGTTTTGCTCTGCCGGACTAAATATTGGCTCTAAATCCTTTCGACATCCAGCTTATTCAAGCTTGCTTCCCACTTTGTCCTTCTCTATATCCTTTCCTTAAATTCGATTTGCTTCAGAACGTGTCCCTGTCAAGGAGTTAAATATCCTTTCCTTAAACACTCTTCTTCACTTTCTTGCTCTCCCCTGTCATCTTTGTTGAGTTTTTTAAACACTTAACGTCACTCTTGCTTTCTCCTTGATGGATTTTTTTTTTATTAAGGCTTTATATTACTAATTAAACATTATTTTTAAAACACTCTTCTTCACTCTTGCTGTCCCCGTCCTTCATTCCTTTCTCCTTTTCACTTATTAAAAGGTATGTTTCTTTATTTTCCTTCGTCTACTCTTCTTCTGAGTATTCCCCGTCCTTTTATATTTCCTTTCCTTAAACACTCTTCTGCGTTCCCCCGTTACTTGAGAAACCCCCGTCCTTCTCTATATCCTTTCCACTAAATGCTTCAACTTGCTCAATGTTGTCCTTCTCTAAAAGCCCTTTTGTTTAAAGACTCTTCCTTATAAGTGCTTATTGGTCCTTCTTAGTATCCTTCGATGGACACATTTTCTTCACTCTTGCATTTATCCTTCTATATCCCAATGGCTGGAACACTCTTCTTCACTTCTTGTCATCCCCAACATCAAGTCTAATTCTTTCTATCCTTAAACCATCTTCAAAGATGATGGGAATGGGCGATCTCTATCCCTTTCCTTAAACTCTCTTCTTCAGAGAGCTTTCCCATCCTTCTGAATATCCTTTCCTTAACTGCTGTTCATCTTGCTTTCCCCGTCCTTTTCCCAGTCTTCATATTCCTATCTCTTTTAACCAAAAGCTCTTCTTCGTTCTTGGTGACTCCCCCGTCCTTCTCCCCATATCCTTTTCTTAAACACTCTTCTTCTTCTTGCTCCCATCCTTCCGTTCCTTTCCTAAACACTCTTCTTCACTCTTGCTGTCCCCGTCCTTCTCTATATCCTTTCCTTAAAAATGACATTTATGTATATATGTCCTTCTCTATATCCTGGATTTGTGTATCTTCTTCTAACCTTGCTTTCCCCTATCCTTCTCTATTTGTACAAACTAAAATTGCTCTCCCGTCCTTCTCTATATCCTTTCCTTGAACAGAGCTTCTTCACTCTTGCTCTCCCTGTCCTTCTCTACATCCTTAATCAAATACTCTTTTCAGATCCATATATATATATATCCTTATATATATATATATATATAAAAAATCCCTCTTTCTCTTTTCCCCTTCCTTCTCTATATCCTTTCCTTAAACACTGACTTCATTAAATAGGTCCTTATCTATATCCTTTCCTTAAACACTTCCTTCAATATTAAAGCTCTTGTCCTTCTCTAAATATAAAGATTTTTAAAACTCTTCTTCACTCTTGCTAAAGTCGTCCTTCTCTATATCCTTTCCATTAAACACTCTTCTTCAATTTGCAACTCCCCTGTCCTTTCTAATCCTTTCCTTAAACAAATTTTCAATTCATTTTTCCTTTCACCTTTCTATATCCTTTCCTTAAACACCAGAGAAAAAAAATTCCTGTCCTTCTAAATCCTTTCCTTAAACACTCTTCTTCACTCTTGTTTTTCCCGTAAATTAAATATCCTTTCCTTAAACAACATTCTTCACTCTTGCTTTCATCCTCCTTTAGATATATCCATTTCGGATTAACACACTCTTTCTTTACTTAGATATATATTGAGCGCTTTACAATATATCCTTTCATATAAACATCAATTCATATATACATATAAAATTGCATATATATATATATATATATATATTCTTATATATATCTTGCTCTCCCCCTGTATATATATATATATCCTTTCCTTAAACACGTATCTTCAAAACTACTTTCCCCCGTCCTTCTCTATATCCTTTCCTTAAACACTGATTCTTCACACTTGCTCTCGAAAAAATTTTTGATTAAATCCTTTAAATTAAAGATAGAAATTCATTTTGCTTTCCCCGATATTCTCATCCAAACGGCCTTCGACAATTTTTTTTTTACTCACGTTGAATCCCCGTCCTTCTCTAAATCCTTTCCTCTGACATTTCTTCTTCAAAGTTTTCCCCTGTCCTTCTCTATATTTTCCTTAAACATTGAATGAATTGAGATTAACAAATTCATTTGCAACCTGATATTTCATCAAAACGCTCTTCAAGAATTTTTTAATAACGTTGAAAGAAATGAGTCTAGGACAAAATTTTTCATCTAATATTTCAGCTACACGCTCTTCAACAAACCCATTTTACTAACGTTGAATGAATTTAGGTTAGAAATTCTGTTTCCCCTGACATTTCAGCCATATGATCCGTGACAAACAAATTTTAATAACGTTGAATCAGTTGAGGCTATAAATTAAATTACAACTTGACAGTTCACTAACTCAAGACTTCAGTGAATATATATTTTTTTTATATTTTGCTTGATGGTTCATTTCAATTATTCTATAAATATTTCCTCATATAATATTCATCTGAAAGCTGAAATGTAGATGTTGTTATTTCGTGTATATATATATATATATATATATGAATATGAATGGATATATATATATAGATAGATAGATAGATAGATAGATAGATAGATAGATAGATAGATAGGTATGAATATATATCTATGATTACGATTCCAATGTGTTAAATTGTAACCATGGAATATTAGTTTATATGTTTGAGCCTTTAAGTATTATATTCTTACGGCATTCCTGGACATTTCCTTCTACTTATTATTTATATTATTCAGTCGAGCTATAATATATATATATATATATATATATATATATATATTATATATAGATCGGATTGTCAATAGAGCGATAATTCTGATTCATAATATTAATTAATGTAAGAGAATGTATGGGCGAGGATAAACCCGTAATAATAATAATAACAACAATCAAGAAGAAAACCTTATTCATTTCTTTATTTTATATCCAGCAGTGTTTTTATATTCATATTCTTTCGACGTAAAATTTTGTAAATGGAAAATATCATGGACTGATATATTATTGAGATTTGATTTTGTTGCATGCTGTCTCCAAGGAAAGCAAGAGAGAATCCAAGAGAGAATCAATCTTATAAGAAGAAAAGTTTTACGTTAATGTCGGGTTCTTTTTAAAAAAGACCTGTTCTACAGTGGTGCGATAAATTCTCCATTTCCAGTTGTCTGGTAATCAATTTCAGATTATATCCATTTTAAAGATATATCAGGCCAAAAAGTTTTTCTCACCCTTTTCAAAAAATTTTTCGCTTGAATCCAAAATTCGACAAATTATATTAAATCACCTGAGACCGTTTGTATTGATATCTGCTGACAAAAAGCAAGGTGTCTACATAATCAATGGTTGGACGAAATCCTATGCATTATCAAGATTCATTGAATTTATAGGATACATCATTATAATTTTTGTATATTTTTTTTTTTTACATGAGAAATTTGACAAACTCTTGACGACACCTGAAAAGAATCGAACTTGTTAGTTTTTTCTTCAGTGAATGCACTTTCAAGATATGCGTGATTTACAATAAGGCTACTGAAGGGATTATCGGAAAGCAAGGCTCAGTTATCCATAGTTCTAACTGGAGTTCAAAAAGATCTTTGAAAATTTTATTTTTTTCTTCTGGGTTACGGAACTAGAACTATAAGCCTACAAGTAATGTAAATAAATTTTCATGTTCTACATTGTTCACACCTGAACCCACTCATTCATATATAGATACGTAGATAGAAATATTGTAATGCGCGCGTATGTGTGTATTCTATCATGACAATAGTATATATATATATATATATATATATATATATATATATATATATATGTGTTAAAGTGTGTGTGTGTGTGTGTGTGTGTGTGTGTGTGTGTGTGTGTGTGTGCAAAGGTGGTTCCTGAAATACTGAATGATATAAAACAAAAATAATTTTTACAAATATTCGAGTACCTTGGGGTAGTAATGATTTTGGGCCATTTGAATCTTGTATAGGAAACAATTTTAAACCCATTTTCAGAAAATTCTAACGTTCTACGTCGATGCCGACTTGAGCAGAACGACGACCGGTAGAACCTTGATTATGCTCAAGGATTTTCTGCTGTTCAACTTTAAAATACTGCACAGTGCGCTTAGGACCTCTTCCCGGATGATCGCCGACTGATCCACTTCTTTCAAAATGGGTTCAACACTATTGTTCCGAATCATACTAGGATATAATCCACATTAAAATATTGGTTTAGTATTTTATCTGAGTTTGAATAATTGATTTCTTTCATTGGAACAGAAAACTCAATGATTTCTCCTCGTTTTCGACATTCCTCATTCAGCCATTTAATCTCTTAGTGATGCTCTATAAAATGAAAAAAAAAAAAATGACAGAAAACGAACCAGTTTTTGTCCTTTTCAAAACATTCGTTTTTCAGTGGCCAGACTATGTGTATATATATATATATATATATATATATATATATATATATATATGTGGTACGTATGAATACTAATGGGTATGTCATAAATACGTTGGACAATATTGTAAATAATTATAATATGCTAAAATAATTATAATTTACTACTAGCAGTGGTTACGTATTGTATTTTGTTGATGTTATAAAGATTACCATTTAATTTCCAACCTCCATTTTGGTTATTCCTCCATTCAGTAACCTTTTCTAGGTTACAATACATAGATAGATAGATAGTTCATAGATAGATATCTATAGATATTGACTTGGTTATTGTTATATACCATACCTATGAACTCTAATGGGTATGTCCAATCTTCATAAATACGTTGGACACTATTGGAATTGGGGGTAATATGCTGTCTAAGTAGTCCACCACAAGAAGTGGTTTACCTATTCCACGACGTTGATGTGTATTGTATTTTGTTGATGTTATAAAGATTATCATTTCATTTCCAACCTCCATTTTGGCTATTCCTCATTCAGTAATCTTTTCTAGATTACAAAAATAGCAGAGCGCGTTCAGGTTTGTTTACAAAAAATCATCATCCCATTGATCACATGTCCATTAGGTTTATCTTCGCAATTCACCCCTGAGAATGACCCCGAAAGTACTTGGGTTAACAAGAATTATGGCACCTTCCTTGATGAATTATTATAAAAAAATAAATAGACATATGTCTATATTACGCAATGAAACAAAATGAAGATTGATTAAAATACGCACACAGATTTATATATATATATATATATATATATATATATATATATATATATATATATAATAATCATCGAGGGTAGAAGAAACCTCAACAGAATGCAGTGGAATGTTGCCGTTTCAGAAATGTTTAGGACTCATCAGCAGTGCGCATCCACTACCGAGAATTGAAACCCGAACAAAAATACATTGACAAGCAAACGTCATAAGGCAATTTGGTATACTAAGGTAGCGAACTAAGAATCGATATTTGCCGCTCATTCACAAATTTCGTGATGGAAACATCCAAATTTTAACTGAATAAGATAGGATTGTGTCCATAAACCCACAAACTACTATCCCCAATACCGCTCCATCCAGACCATTAGAAGCCGGTTCAATCAGGATATACAAATTATAGAAATTAAGGAAATTTGACATATATATATATATATATATATATATATATATATATATATATATATAATATATATAGTGAGGGTTGAAAAACAAGAAAGGGCCACTCAAAGTAAGAGTCTTACGTTTTAAATTTCAAATATAAAAAGGAAGATAATAATGACATTAATTATTTTAAGATGAAGAACAGGTTAAAATGTAGTGATCGAAAAATATCCACTTAGAGCCGGTTCTATAGGGCAGTGGTTCGCAGGAAGAAAAAAAATTTTAGAGGAACTCATCTTTTCAAAGCGATGAAATACGGAAGGAATTTAAATCCTCAATTTACTGTCATATAAATTATATGGCGTGTTCAAAACGTAATGTCAAGGTTTGCCTTTTCGAGGTTTCAAACCGTCTTTTCATCCGAGCACTTTAAGTGGAATTTAAAATTGAAAACCCAAATGTAAATTATTCACATCCTGATGCCCATAACCAGAAGTCAACAATTGTCAAATCAAAGGAAGTGTGGTGGCCATATGTTGACGGTCCTCCGTGACCTATCCAACTATTTGTAAAAAACTTCGATCGAGACGAGACAAGTGCTAAAAAATTTAAAAATTTTATGAGACAAAGCAGCACCTTGTTGGATTAATCCTGTTTATATTGGGGTTTTGTTAATAATGGAAAATTTAATCTTGCATTTTTTAAAAACAAAATGTCTTTTTGCAGTCATCGTTAGTGTTTTTCAAAATATGTATAATTACACCGAAGTGATTTCTGTTATATTAAATAAAGGATCGTGTGTATAGCAAAAAAAAGATCTGTCCTTAAAACTGGAAGAACTTAAAAATTTTAATTTGAATGAAAATTAGTAAGCCTATTTTAACGGACCTGGCCAAGAACAATTTAATTTTGATTCACTTAAATATATATATAAATATATATATAATGGGAATATATATATATATATTAAAATGCGTAATAAAATTAGTCCCTGATTTTTGATGTCTCTAATGTTTTTTCTATTTTCATGAACTTTTCCTGTTTTCTAAAAAAGTCAAAATGTTTCAATTTTCCAAAGGTAATGTTGTCAGCGATGTTAATTGTCCGACCTATTTTCAAAAGATTTGGGAAAAAAATCAAGATTAACGAGAAGAAATTAAAATTGACAAAATGAGGCAATGCACCATCCTGTTGGCAAAACTCTGAATAAATGATTTGGTAGGGGCATTTATATCAATGGCTAAATTTTTTGCAGCATTTGTAATTAAGAATTTGCATCCATCGTTGGAAATGTAATGACATATGGACCAATTACACCGTAAATCAAATATTTAAGCATGATAAAAGGATCAAAAATAGCAAAAATTAGAGATTCGATGTACTTAAGGACAGAAAAAAAATGGTAATATCAACCATTTTAATCAAATGTTATTAAAAGGCAAAATTGTTAATTTAAATTTATGTTTTTTTATCAAACATCAGTCATGCTGGTGGAAGTTAAATTAAAATAAACACTGAATATATTAATTTTAGTGTTAACATAATTTTTACTCACTCCTGTGATAATATTTTAAGAAAAAAAATTTGTTAATTAATTAACTTCACATAATAACATATCACATCGCCTGAATCATATGTTTTAACCATTAATGGGAGCACAAATGCAGATACTGCGATATTAAATTGAAACTGATCTTTAAATCACCAATACTTAAATAATAACAAAAAATATTAAGATTGTTAAAACAGAAACAAGTCGTAAATGATTTTTTATTTTTATTCAATAAATTCATTTAAAAAAATCACATAGACCACTCATTATCGACAGAAATGATTACAGAAACATCTGATGTGTATGACTTGCTTTTCGACCAACGGACATCGTTTAGCAAAAGTGATTATTCCCATTTTGCCTAATGAAATTGAAGATTACAATGACAAATAAAAAGATATACAGATAGAGATACGCCTGATTTAAGTCTGATGAATCATTAATCATTTTTATGAAAAAAAATTGGATTTAAATTTTAAAATTATTATTGAAATATTTATAAAAAGACGTTACTCTTCAAATTAGAACCTGTAAACCATATTTCGATTAACAAAACAGACAATGTATATATATTTTTACTGATTTGTAATAGATAGATCATTTCATGATATATTTATAGATATAATTTAATACAGATACCAACTAGTTTGGGATATATATATATATATATATGGCATTGTTTAATAAACTGTGAAAATTCATTTTGAACAAAATTTTTGTACAATTTTATCGAAGCTTATCTGTTTATAATGCGTTTTATTTTGAAAATATAAAGGAAATCTATGATAAAATTTCTTCAAATTGAACAAAGTAAATATCTACACCGATTTCATAAACAGACAAATGCATAAAGAGATGAACTATATAATATAAAAGTATAATATGCATCATAAATTGTATAAATATGGCAATCATTGTGATGAATGGTCCCTCATTGTTAAAATGTCGAATTGACAATTTTGGAATGAAGTTGTTTGGATATGATGGGTGGATAAGGGAATTTGAAATAGGAGGGTAAATTAATAGTTTTCCAATTTTTCAAAAAAAAAAAAAAAAAAGTTTTTACAAAAAAACAAAATGAATCACAGGAAACCGAGTAATGTTTGCATATCTAAGATTCAAATTGATTTTTCCTCAATTTTCACAAAATAACAAAATTTTGAAATAAAAATATGGATTTTAATTTAAAAAGTTCCAAACAAATAAATTTTTAAAAGCCTGAAAAAACATTAATATGTTGATTTATTCAAAAATATACATACAAGAAACACACAAACACACACACACACACACACATATTTTTTACATATATATATATATTTTTAGAACATAGATAGATTTATATAGATAGATAATATAAATAGAAGATAGATAGAACTATAGATAGATTTTCATTGAGTCTATATATTTTATATATTTTGCATTCAACCTATTTAAATGATTCAATATGATATATATATATATGATATATATATATATATAGGAAAATCAAAGAAATATTTCTAACATTCTAAATTTTTTAATTTATTGTATTTCTAACTTTAATAAACATAATTTTTATATTTTAAATCATACATATCAAATCATCATAATAGACATCAATCCGTATAGAAAATAAAAGAAATTGAATTAATGGAATAAATATTGATAATTTATATATTTAGATATTATTAGTTCTCCACTCTTGACTATGAAATATCGAAAGATTAACTAATTCTAATTTCTATATTCCCCACTCTATAATTTCGATTAAGCTATATTAATTATAATTTAAAACTGTTGATTTCTAAGATCTCTCAAAAAATTTCTTTTAATTCGTTACATCCTTTTGCCGATATATGCTGAAAAAGAAATTTTAAACCCTTTTTATTGGTGATTTAAATTTGAATTAAAAAAATGGCTTCAAAGATTGAAAAAAATTAATTTCATAAGATTAAATATTCGGGTTTCATTTTTTAAAACCTCAACAAATGAGAATTGTTAGTTTCCCCATGACTTATAATCGTGGAAAAATCATTTTTTTAAGCATTTCACCCCAAGCAAGGCGGGAAGCCACTAGCACGCAAGGGGTTACAGAGAGTTGGAGCGAGATCAAATAGGAGTGATAGAGGAAAGGATGAAGAGAAAGATAGGGGATAGATCAAGGCATCTGGAGACGTCGATTGACATTACATTTGAATAGTTGGAGATTATTGCTATCAGGGAAACAGGAAAATGAAGGGAATTCCACAGGCGAGAAGTGCGAGACCTGAAGATATTGGAGTAGAAGAGACGGCTACATTTAACAGTTTCGACAGTGAAAGGGTGTGAGCGAGATGCCAGCCTAGTAGAACGCTTAAATTCATGAAGTTTGGGAACCAGCGAAAGCAGCTCATCGGAGCAGTTACCATGAAAGTATTTGTACAAAAAGACAGAGGGAGGCAACGGCACGTCTGTGAGAGAGCGACTGCAGATGAGATGCCATCTTATCAAGAACCTTGAGACAAACAGAAGGGGCTCCAGACCATATATGGCACCAAAACTCCATGTAAGGGCAAATGGTTGATTTGTAGATTTGAAGGATCGACTCCAGCGAGAAAAATTTCCTGGCGCGGCACAGGGAGCCAACTTTCCTTGCGGTGGACGAAGCTATTGACTCAATGTATTTGTTCCATCTCAGGTCAGCAGTCAATGTGAGACCGAGTAGTCGCAAAGAGGTGCTCTCGAGAAGTTGAGCTATTGATATTTTGTGGGGGCCAATTTCTCTATTAAATAAAAACGCACACCAACAAGACCTAAAAATATATAAAAATGCTGATTGGGACTCACTCAGCGATTTTTCTCCGTGTTTTTTGGACTTATATTTAAACTCCCAACTGAAAACTTTGCACTGAAGTTTTTTTTTAGTTAAAGCCGGCATTGAAAAAATTTTCATCTTGAAATGAGAAAAAAACAATATTTCATGGTTCTTCCAGCAATAAGCAGGCCCTTAAAATATAAATTTAAACCACTATTTCCAGCTATACCAGATTATGCTCTCGTCAGAATATGGTAACTATTCATTTCAACCTCGCAATAAATCGTGAGACCGATACTCGTAGGAGTTGCTTCCATGTTTGTCGAACAATTGTGAGGCACCAAAATAATTGACTAAAAAACTTCGGAACTCTTGTGATTAATGAATTGATGTAATAAATAATTGAATGGCGTCTATTCATCCTTTTCAATCAACCTGAAAAATGTTATCCTCTTTTGATGAAGAAAAATTTTTTTCAATAAATTCTCCTCAAAAATTCATTTTTCTCTTGACTCAATCGGGATATCCCTGCTTAACATCCCTCCTTTAGAACTGTATCTTTGTTGAGTGATTCCATGATTTCTGTTATCATAAAATTAGATCCAAAAAAAAATGTGGATCTGATGTTTAACCTGATTAAATCAATAAGAATCGTAACTGCATAAAAAAAAATGTTATTGTCTGGATTTAAAACGGTATAATTTTAAATTCTCGTTGCCTCCGGAATTCTGCCTAAAAAGAAAAAAAAGATCTGCCGTTCCAGTTTTTTAAAACTCTGATAAAACGCCCGACTTTTCAAAATATCGGCCTATTAAACTTTTAAATACTTTGTGAAAAGAAAATATAGTTCATTTGTCAAGGTCAATGGCTGATGTACTGACGATAATTGCAATAATTTATAGATTTTAAGACAGATAGATAGATAGATAGATAGATAGATAATTAGATAGAATTAAAATATAAAGAATTAGTAAAATATACATATTTAGAGATCGAAATAATAATGAAAAAATGAGATTTGAATTTGAGAAAAAAAGAATTTAAAATTATCATTACAATTTGAAAAAAAAAAAAGAGAAATATAGATAGTTATAAATTCATGAACATAATTAGAGACATACAGATAGAATTCTAGATATGATAGATAATAGATTAGATAGATATATATAGATAATAAACAGATAAGATAGACAGATAACAATATTTTGGATAAATAGATATATATTTTAAAAAAATGATTTTAGAAGGATATAGAATTACAGACTGAAAATAAGATTTAAATTTTAATGAACGATTGGAAATATGAATAAATTAATTAATGAAAAAAACTTGAAACAAACCGTAGATAGATCAATAAATTCAGATTTTTCTTGAAACAGACTTGGATAGATAGATAGATAGATATCAATAGAGAATTTAGATAATTTATATTAGATAGATTTTGTTCTAGATTTGAAGAGACTGAGATAGATATGAAGAGAAAGATAGATAAATAATAATGAACAGAATGATTAGATATATAGATAATAGATTTTTTATAGATTTTTAGATAGATAGATTTTAGATAATGAAGAGATGGAGATAGATTCGAAGAGATTGAGATAGATAGATATTTAATTTCAGATTTAGATAGATAGATAGATAGATAGATAGATAGGATTTTGCAAAATAAGATAGAATGAACATACTGAATTAGAAAGATTTTAATATAGAGATCGATAGATAATGAAATAAAAATTTAGATAGATAAATAGATAGATATTTCAATTTTTGAATTTTTATGAAAAAACTGAGATAGATAGATAGATAGATAGATAGATAGATAGAACAGTCTGAGATAGATTAGATAGATAGATAGATAGATAGATAGATAGATAGATAGATAGATAGATAATATTTTTACAGATGAGATAGATAGATATCGAAAGATGGATAGACAGATATATAGATAAAAATAAATAGATTTTAGAAGGATAAAGTAAATAGATTGAGACTGAAGTAGACAGGGAAAGAATATGGGAAATATGAATAAATTAATTAATGAAAAATACTTTTTTCTTGAAACTGGATAGATCGAATGGTTTCTAGATAGATAAGAAATTTAGACTGAGAAAGATAGATAGATAGATAGATAGATAGATAGATTAGATAGATTTCAGATAGATTTAGACTGAGAAGAAATTAGATAGATAGATAGATAGATAGATATTAAATAGATATATATGAAGAGATGGAAATAGATATGAAAAGATTTCTAGATTGAATTTTGTTCAGAGATGTAAAAGATAGATGATGATTCTAACAAATAAGATAAGATAGATAGATAGATAGTTAGATAGATATATAGATAGATAGATTCATATTTAAAATAAAACTGAATTAGAAATTTAAACATATAGAGATCTCAGAAATTAAATGAAAAAGTGAAAAAATATGATAAATATTTACAGAATGAGACATATGAAACGACGTTAATTCTGTCAGATAGATAGATAATGAACAAAATGAAATAGATAGATAGATAATATTTAGATAAATAGATTCTTTTAGATAAAATATTTTTTAATTTTAAATAATGACGGAGATAGATAGATAGATAATATCGGATAGAATCAAATATATAAATGTGAAATGTTTGAAACAGAAATGAAGCAAATATAATAATAGACAGAATCAACCTATAGATTGTCAGATGTCGAGTTAACGTTCCGGGTAGCTAAATTGACAACCCTAAACCGTGGAGCCAATCTAATTGACTTTTTTATACGCTACCAACGAACAGACGAAGAAATATTCCCAAGTTTTAGCGATATTTAAGCATTTGTTCATATTTGTCAGTCTCATGATATTTGGTTATGGGCCAGTATAATGAACCTTCCGTCAAGGATCGAACTGAGTGAACCAGTTTGATTAGATAAATGAGATCACAATGAATGGCCCTAGGGTAGATATCAACGTGAATAGGTCGATCGGAGAGTTTCTGATCAAGAAGTAATCCAATATATACGTTAATATTTGAAATCGATTTTGCCGAACTTGATTAACATTAAACCGTGATAATCGATTTCTGGATACTATAAAAAAAAAAATGAAATAATGAAAAAATTCGGTTCAACACAAATTAAACGTTGAAAAAATTTTAGGAATAGAAAAAAATTTAGTATTTCTCATAATAAGTTATTTGGAAAAATTTCGTGGAGTACAATGACTTGTATATATCTATATATCTATCTATTCTATCTATATATCTATCTATCTATCTATCTATTATTATTTATTATTATTATGAAATGGACAAAGTCCGACATTATTTTTAAGACATTTTTATGTTTATAAATTCTTTTATAGATACAAATATTTAAGTAAATGCTTGTTTATAATAAACAGTATTAAAAATTTTTGGAATTTAGTAAATGAAAATTTATTTTAAACAGAGCATTTAGTTAATTTGTATCTATAAAAAAATTTTATAAAAAAAATTGAATTTAAAAATCTATATCTATCTATCTATGCTTATAGATAACTTGGTAGATATAGGACAGAAAAACATCGATAGATTGTGATATATATATATATTAAATCAAATATATGGTACAGTTCCATTTATATTACAATGAATCATTCATACATTCATAAAAAAGTAGATTAGCAAAATTAATGATATAAAATTGCGAAATATTTATATAAACAACATTTTAAACGTGCATTAACTTACCAATCACTATATGAATGTTATGATCCTTGTTTTTAAATTTATAATTTTACCAAAAAAACAAAACAATTTCCATGCCTGAAGATGAATGAATGTATTATCGAAAGTGATAGAAATATTTACGAAAGATCTTATACAGTTTATAAATTTAAAAAACAAAAATCATAACATTCATCGAGTAATTTTCTTATTAGATTATATCATTAAAACTGAACATGTCCTCCTAAACTCTGAATGTCAGTCAGTCCAATTTTCCACTCCTTGAAATTATTCTAAACTTGGAGGGGAAACAGGAGATAACTGATAAGTGACATCCATGAAAAAATAGCAAATGGATAAATGGCAGCAAGTCTTCCAAAATTTTTGGTTCAAAATATTTTTTTTTTTTTTCCCAAATACTTTCAATCTCATCTGAAGCCATCTTCATGGATTTAAATAAAATAGGAACATATATAAATAAAAATTAAATAAAAATTGGTAAAATAACAATAATTTCATAATCAATTTTCTAAATAAATATAAATTGATTCGTGGACTATTACGAAAGGATTAAAAGAAAAATAAGCAGACATAGAAAGTTTAAATTACCGTAACTAAATATCCATCAGTTTGAATGAAAATATGCTGCCTAAATACACACGTTTTTGTTTATCTCAATATTCACAGTCGTTTTTCCCACCTGTCTTGTATAACATATTTTAGAATAATACAGAGTTTATATCAGACCCTGACTTTGCGTTTTAGACATAATAAAACAACCTTTTCAATCTGCCATTAGCCTAGATGATACATTTATTGATACATTTCTTTGTAGATATTTTTTTTGTTTGTACATAAGCTCAAATTAGTGAAAGTGAAAAGAGGAAATTTATTTAGGTTTAAGCCTTTAGAAAACAGAATGCAAATCATTCAGTTTGTTGGGTTTACGTCTGCTCCAACTCTGACTATATTATTTTTGGACACTACCAATCGAGCTTAGACGGCTTTTAAAAAATATCAAGAAAGTGTTTTGACAGAGGATGGTAAATGAGACACTGAGATCCGTTGAGGTATTGGGATGGCCAAGGACGCATTCCAAAAGCTGGGCAGAGTATTGCGAGACAGGAGGATTTCTTTGGTAACAAAGAAAAAGATACTGAGCTGTTACGTGACATCTGTCCTTCTTTACGGCAGAGAATGTTTGACGATTTCCTCAAAGATGAAGAAGAGACTCGAGGCGACAGAGATGTGGTTCTACGGAAAGATGCTAAGGATATTATGGACCGAGCGTGTGAAACGATGAGAATAAAGAGAGGATGCAAACAAGGAATCTTAGGATAGAGGCTTCTTCCTAACATTTTGTATAAAGAACTATAGACGTATTAGGATGGCCAAGGACGTATTGCAAAAGCTGTGCAGATTATTGCTAGACAGGAGGATTTCTTTGGTAACAAAAAAAAGAATATTGTGCTATTACGTGACAATTGTCCTTTACAGCAGCGAATGTTGGACGATTTCCTCAAAGATGAAAAAGGGACTCGAGACGACAGAGATGTGGTTCTACAGAAGGATGCTGAGGATCCTAGATGATTTATTAATTATTTTTTTTTTTTGCTATTATTGGTTGTTATTCTTATTTTTTCCTGTTCTTCCAATTTTCTTTATCAATAATAATTGGCACCTTCATTCTCTATTAGTTCTTTCTGGCACCATATACTCTTTTCATTTTCTCCGTCTACTGTGTTCATCTAGCTGAAAAGCACGAACTAGTTAGATGCTAGACAACTCGTTTGGCTGATCAATGAATTCGAATTTTTCTTCTTGTATTTAGTTGCTTTTCTCCATTGAGCATCTGAGCAATCATAGCTTTCCAGAAGTTTCTGTTCTTTGTAGTTCTACGCAATGTTTATCACCTGTAAATCATAAACTATCAATTTATCGTACTGGTCACCGAAGTCAAGAACCTCAAAATCTAGTCTATACCAAGATAGTCCTGGGTAAGACGATAAACTACACCCGGCAGCAATGCTACAGCTGGGGAGATTGGAGGTTTTCAGCAGCGTGGAACTATTTCTTAATTGCTTTTATTACCATATCCGCCCCGATGGTTGTGAGGTCTGAGGGAATTTTTTGTCCTTTGCCCTGATGTATGCGCTCGGTTTCCCACTTTAAAAATGACCTTGTATCACATCTCGTCCTAGTGATGGGACGAGTAATCACCGCGTATAAATTACTGTTTTTATCATCTCTCAGTTGTTCTTCGGGCAGAGTGTGCTCAGCAGCGGCTCCGTCGAAGGCAGTCGCAACTGAGAAAAATCATACTATAGATTGCCCAGGCCCTTTTTTCAAATCTTTGTGCTCGAGGCTGCCCAGTCCCATTGCTCTCGAGAAAAGGATCGGTGCCTAGTTTACGCGCACAGGTTCCCTCCATTAACCCCGACCTTATGTCTCAGTGGGGAGCAACGATAAATATTTACTATAAAGTAGTTATCTATTCGTTGGATAATCGTGTTCCAATTTCGCCTTTATTCATATAGATTCCATAATACAGGTCTTACTTAATCAGCTATTATGTTTCTCTAACTCTTCAAATTTTGAATGTATAATAAATTCTAATTTCTATTTTCCCATCTTTACACTATATTAATTTTATCTGATAAATTGTCCCCTGTTTTGTCACCCATAAAATAAAAATATTTTTTGTACGGAAAATAAGGATCTACCTACATCAAATTGTCTCTAAATTAAGTAGCAGAAGAACAATTATCGTTGAACTTTTAAAAGGTAAGCTTAAACATTAATTCAATACTTACATGCAGCGATCAATTTTGAGTCCTTCTGTAGTTTATTGGTGCCTATCGCATCTCCTCCTCCCTAACTACTATGATGATGGCCAAAGCAAAAGTTCTCCACAGTAGATAGCTTTAAAAACGTCTATGGCAGCGTGTGTTTTTAAGCTAGTTTATAATAAAACACGCACTGCAATTTTGAATTTTGGACACAAAATGAAAATTTTACTCCCCTTGAACCATGAAAGCAAAGATAATGGCTAGTATAATATATTAATATATATATTTTTTAACCTTGCATAATCTGGTAACCTTGAATCTAAGCTCAACGAATATCGTTTCCTGTGCCTAACTTTTCTAGGGTTTTTGAATGAGCTATGAATCATTGAAATCGGAGCAGGGGGGAGCGGAGAAGTTGCTTGGACACACACACGCGTACAAAGATAAGTTGTGTCTTTTATTCTGTAACCCTTTAACCTGAGTAGTCCTCGGGTGTTGTTAAGGATGAAAGCCAATGTCAAAAACAGTCTAAACGTAGATAATTTTAAATGTTTGTTTTCTTTTTAGTTACTTTGTGAAAGCGTTGATAAAAAATAGTAGGTCGATAGAAAGAATTCCTAAAATAATAATTCTCCAATAAATTCAAATATTAATATTTTGTTTTTTTTTTCAAAGTGTGTAAGTGCAGGATTCTTTGATTTAGTATCTAAGATCTATTCCCCACGAATTACTTTTTTTTAAATCATTTCATCCGAATCAAGGCGATAAGGTCACCCCGAGAGCAAGAGGGTGACAAGGAAGAAAAAAGAATGAGAAGACTTTAGTAAGGAGAAAATTTAAAAAGAGAAAAAGATATGAGAATTTTGCATTTAAATTTAAATTTATCTATTGTAGTATTTCAGGGGAAATCAGGACATTGAAACGGCGTTCCAAATAAATATTTAGTGCGTGAAAAGACACTATTAGAATAGAATTGACGGCTGCATCTAGCTAGATTAACAGTTAAATGGTGATACCTCATCAGAAAAATTACTATGAATATACTTGTTGAAAAGACAAACGGAAACCATGCCAAAATGGTGACAATGTGACTGAAATGGAGATGTCAGGTCAGGATCGACTAGATTACGGACCCTTCTCTGGATTTTGTCAAGAATCTCAACAAAAATAGACGAAAGTAATTGATCATAATCTATCTATCTATCGATCTATCTATCGATCTATTTAAGTCTGTACATTATCTATCTTCTTATCTATCTAAATATGTTCATTATGTATATAAATATATATGTGTGTGTGGGTCTGTGTGTCTGTTTGTTTGTGTATGTAAGTCCGTTCATTATCTATTTATTCATCTATCAATT